GTAGTAGCAGTAGCAGTAGTAGCAGTAGTAGTATAGTAGTAGTAGTAGTAGTAGTAGCAGAAGCAGCAGCAGCAGCAGCAGCTGCAGTAGTAGTAGTAGTAGTAGTAGTAAGTATCGTAGTCGTAGTCGTAGTCGTAGTCCGTAAGTCGTAGTGGTAGTGGTAGTAGTAGTAGTAGTAGTAGTAGTAGTAGTAGTAGTAGTAGTAGTAGTAGTAGTAGTAAAGGTAGTAGTAGTAGTCGTAATAGTAGTAGGAGTAGTAGTAGTAGTAGTAGCAGTAGTAGTAGTAGTAGAAGGAGGAGGAGGACGGGAGGGAGGAGGAGCAGGAAGAGGAGACCTGGAAGGAGGAGAAGGAGGCGGAGGAGGATGAGGGGGAGGAGGAGGAGAAGGAGGAGGAGTAAGAGGAAGAGGAGGAGGAGGAGGAGGAGGAGGAGGAGGAGGAGGAGTAAGAGGAGGAGGAGTAAGAGGAGGAGGAGGAGGTGGGGGAGGAGCAGGAGGAGGAGGAGGAGGAGCAGGAGGAGGAGGAGGTGGGGCGCTCCGCCCGCCAGCCCCGCCGTAGCTCCTGGGACGCACGAGGACATACACTAGTACTATACGTCCTGCTTGCAGGCGTGCGTCCGACCCAAACAGGTAGCATAGCCAGCTTGTAGTATATGTCTTTCCCTGGGCGGCATAACCAGAAAGAGTTCGCCACGGAGCGTATACTAGAAGATTTCTCGGTGCGCACGCGTCGTCCCTGTAGGGGCGACGCACTCATAGTATCAGTATGTCGGTGTGGCGCCGACCTGCTGCAGCTCCGACCCCCTCCCTCTTCGCAGAGAAAACCTACGCTCCAACAGAGGTTGACTTGGAGCGGCGGGCTTTGGGCAGGTTTCGGCCTCCGGGGGCCCTCGCCGGGCCCCGGGGGCCGTCGAAAAACTACTCTCGAGACGGGAAACTGGCCCTGTCTAGGGAAGTGGTCCAGACCTCCTCATCCTCCTCCTCCCCCTCCTCCTTCTCCTCCTCCTCCTCCTCCTCCTCCTCTTCCTCCCCCTCCTCCTCCCCCCTCCCTCCTCCTCCTCCCTCCTCCTTTCCTCCTCCTCCTCCTCCTCCTCCTCCTCCTCCTCCCCCTCCTCCTCCTCTTCTCCTCCTCCTCCTCCTCCTCCCCACGCATCGAAGACATTGGAGCAGCTGGGTGGCTGGGCCCGCCCCCTGTTCTCTCAAGCAGTGCTTGCGCTCAGGGGTTCTCCCGCCCGTGCTCTGGAGAGCTGGGCCCGGTTGTCGGCCTGGCCCGGCACGTAGCCGCCCGTCGCCGCCTCGTCGCCGCCCGTCGTCCAGGCCTTGTTGTCGGTCTGGCCGCCCCATCGCCGCCTCGTCGACGCCTCGTCGCCGCCCCCTCCCCCCATCGCCCCCTTCTGGACGTTGGGCAAACTTGGATGAACTGGCATCGTACCGTCGGGATGGTGTGGCCAGAACGGCATGGTGTGTGCGCAGACCTGGGCGCTGATTGGCGGCGAGCGAGGGAGGAAGCGAGAAGGGGCGGGCCTTCTCAGAAAGCTCGGAAGTCCTCCGGCCTGCTGATTGGTTTCCTGAGCCGTCCCCGAAGACGTATGAAACTTCTCAAAAGGCGCGCGGGCTTCTGAGAAGCCCTGCCGCCTTCTGAGAAGGCCTTCTCCTCCTCACCCCCCCCCTTCGCTCGCAGCCGAGCTGTGGCCGACGAGCTTGCGGGCACGCGCGGCAGCAGGCTGTGCCCGGCGAAGCGGCAAAAAGACGAGAACGGGGGATACAGCAACCACTATCCCAGTCTTCGTGGGGCTTTTGAAGGAACCAGAAATTTGGGGCCCAACCATTGGATATACGATGGAGCGGTTCAACCCTCGATAAAGGTGCGTCGGAATAGCCCTCTTGGGATGTGTATCCCAGGGTCCCCCTCCCTTTCTGAACGGTTTGACTTATCCTCGAAAGGTCTGGGGCTGGGGGAGAAAAACCGCCTGCGAGACGAGAGCCCGCAGGGGCGACGAAGAGCACCTCGCCCCCGCCCCCCGCCCCGCCCCTCCTTTTTGGACGACCGAATTGGGTATGGAAGACATGGGCACAATGCCCAACAACAAATCTTGTCATTCTACAAGCGGCCGCTGTTGGGCAGGCGGCCTCCTGTTTCAAATGGAGCCCGCGGCGACGCCGACAGCGAGCCATGCCAAAAACGACAAAGAACTGCAGTCGGTTGTTGTGCCCATCCTGTCCGTGCCCATTTCGATCGTCCCGATCCTTCGCCCCCGCCCCCCGCCCCGCCCCGCCGCCCGCGCGCCGGCCGCAGGCTCCCCCGCCCCTCGCCCTCGCCCTGAGCCCCCGCGCAGCCCAGGCCCCACAGAACCCCGCCTCGCCCTCGCCCCTCGCGCCCCGCCCTCGCGCCCCCGCGCCTGCCCCGCCGCCGCCGCCGCCGCCCCGGCCCCGCGCCGCCTGTCCCGCCCTCGCCGTCGCCCTCGGCCTCGCCCCTCCAGCCCTCGCCCTCGCCCTCGCCCTCGCCCCTCCAGAAGGCTCCACGAGGGCCGAGGGGGGCCTGCGGGTTCCAGCGATTCCAGCCAACAGGGGTGACGAGTGCGAGCTCGGGGGCCTCTGGAGGGCTCCCAGCGACCCCACGAGGTCCAGCCCCGTCCCGCCTCCCATGGCCCTCCCGCTACGGATCCTCCCCCTTCCCCCTCCTCCATGAAAAACTCATCCCTTTCGCAGCCCCAGACGTGTCGCCTGAGGATGCCCCTAAGTTTTGCAACAACTACAGGGATGGAGGGAGGTGCATGTCCAAAGTGGCGCTCTGGCGTCAGCGCGGAGCACATTCGTCTTGAGTGTGCAGCAGATCCCAGGAGGGAGCACAGATCGTTTAACAGAAAGGGAGCTCTCGCCTAGCACCGCGCACAGTCGTCTTGAAGCCATGCAGCAACAGCAACAATGCCAACGCCAACGCCAACAACAACAACAATAACAACAATAACAACAACAACAACACCAACAACAACAACAACAACAACAGCAACAGCAACATTAACAACTACAAAAACAACAACAAAAACAACAGCAACAACAACAACAACAACAACAACAACAACAACTACAGCAACAACAACAACAACAGCAACAACAACAACAACAACAACTGCAGCAACAACAAGAGCAACTATGAAGACATGATCCGTTTCGAAGAGGGGGTCTCGCTAAGTGTGGCCCTGAACGTCAAGACGAGGAACTTGGACATGGGTAACACTTCGCAGATCGAGGGCGGTTCGTTTACAATGCAGCAATCGTGCTGCCGTAATTAACGGGTAAAAGTAACTTTTTCTGGCCGCGGCGGCCCTAGGCCATAACGAGAGTCCACGACAGAAATCTAAGGAACGGCCCAGGAACCCAAGCCCCTCCTGAGCCTGGAGCGGCCCTTGGTCCAGCGTCTTGACAGTTTGGGGCTCCAGCGTGAGACTTCCTCAATGCTCTTGCCCAAACATATAAGCTTGCACCACTCCTCCTCCCCTCATCATCATCTTCAGCAGCATCATAATGGTCCTCATCATCATCATCATCAGCAGCAGCAGCATCAGCAGCATCAGCATCAGCATCAGCATTGTCGCTCATCATCAGCATCATCATCCTGATCAGCATCACAACCACCACCATCATCATCATCATCATCATCATCAGCATCATCATCATCAGCAGCATCAGCATCATCACCATTTTCACCAGTCTCATCATCGTCGTTAACAGCATCAGCATCAGCATCAACCACATCATCATCGACATCGTCGTCCTCAGCATCATCATCATCACAACCACCACCAGCATCAGCATCATCATTATCATCATCACCACCACCATCATTACCACCATCATCAGCATAATCACCTCCACAACCACCACCATTATCATCACCATCGTCATCATCATAAGAATCATCATCGTGTTCATCATCATCAACATCATGTATCACCATCGTTCTCGTCATCGTCATCGTCATCGTCATCGTCATCAACATCATCATTAGCATCATCAGCAGCAGCAGCATCACCATCACCAATCATCATCGTCATCACCATCATCATCATCATCATCATCATCATCATCATCATCAGCATCATCATCATCATCACCATCATCACCACCATCATTTTGTATGCATTATCCTCCCCCTCCTCCTCCCCCTCCTCCTCCTCCTCCTCCGCCTCAATCCTCTGCCTCCGCCTTCGGCATGCTCGCTCCCCCGCTCCCGCTTGCTCATCAATTTTCTCCACCACCTCGTCGGTCTTCGTCCCCCGCCTCCTCGTCAGTCTTCCTCCTCTCCCTCCTATACCTCCTCCTCCTCCTCCTCCTCCTCGACTTGGCCCTCGTCCTCGTCCTCATTGTAGGTATCCTCCTCGTCCTCTTCCTCCTCCTCCTCCTCATCCTCCTCCGCTCGGGGGGGATGTCGAGAAGGGGCAGGGGGGGAGGGAAGGTGGGAACCAGGTTGAAAGACGAAATGCAGAGGGAGGAAGGAAAACTCGATCCTCGGACCTGGTCCATCGACCCTTGCAGCTCGAACCTCGAAGCTCAACCCTCGCTTCTCGAGCCTCGATCTTCACCTCGATCCTCGACTCTGGATCCTCCGAGAAGGAGCCGCCACGGCGACGGCGACGACGACAACGCAGAAAACGACGACGACGACGACGACGACGACGACGACGACGACGACGACGACGACCACGACCACGACGGCGACGGAGACGGCGACGGCGACGGCGGCGGCGACGACGACGGCGGCGACGACGATGATGGCGGCGGCAGCGAAGGCGACGGCCGCGGCGATGGCGGAGGCGGCCGCGGCGGCGACGTCAGCGGCGACGGCGACGGTGGCGGCGTCGACCAGCGGCAATGTCGGAGGCGGCGGCGGCGGCGGCGACGGCGACGGCGACGGCGGCGGCGGCGAGCGGCGACGTCGGCGGCGGCGCCAGCGATGGCGGCGGCGGCGACGTCGACGGCGGCGGCGGCTCGGTAGGCCACGCCTTGCGGCTGTCGGCCTCCCGGAGGGCCTCGTGGAGGGACACCGCCTCCGGCCGGGGCGGCGAACACATACGTCAGTAGCACCCGAGCCTCAGCATGTGTGCGGTCGTCTTTGGATGGGCAGATGCTGGGAACCAAAAATATACCCCATGTGCGCGACTCTGGGGCGAGGTAAGCCACGCGTGCCAGGCGCGCCACGCGCGCAAGGTGCGCCACGCACTCCTGGGGCCCAGGCGTGCCCAGCACGCCTGGTGCGCCAGATGCGCCACGTGCTCCATGTGCGCCAGGTGTGCCGCATGCTCCAGCCGCTCCAGGCGCGCCACGTTCGGAACACGTGCAGAGTGTGCCAGGTGCGCCCGCGCACGTGACAGCACGCATCGGGAATCAAGTCGGCCTTACCACCCTTGTCAAAAACCAATGCGCAATCGCGGCAGGGTGGCAATCATGGTGTCTAGTGGGCCTGCACACAGCAGGCAATACGCCATCACGGTCGAAGAGGAGGAGGAGGAGGAGGAGGGGAATCAGGAACAGGAGGAGGAGGAGGAGGAGGAGGAGGAGGAGGAGGAGGCGGACCATGGCCTGGGGACCAGGAGGAGGGGAGGAGAGGAGGAGGAGGAAGGGAGGAGGAGGAGGAGAAGGAGACAGGAAGAGGAGAAGGGAGAGGTGGAGGAGAAGGAGAGAACGGGGGGAGGCTCGTGTGGGGGACAATGCTGGGGTGGGCTGGCTCAGGGGGGCGGGTGGAAGGAAGGCACATCGAACTTAATATCGACGCCGGGGCGGCTCTATCAGGCCCCTCCCGGCGACGACTGGGCGACTGCGGATGGGGGAGGGGGGGGGAACGCATCCGCCCCGGGGCCCCCCTCCCCCGCCGCCGCTGCCCCTGGGCAGGCGGGCGGGCGGGGCAGGCGGGCGGGCCGGCGGGGCAGGGCGGGATGGGGCGTGCCGTGGGCGGTCTGCGCAGGCCGGCCGGGCCTCCGGGGGCTGCTCGCGGCGTGCCCCGGCGCGCGGGCGGCGACGCGGCGGGCGGGCGGGGGCGGGCGGCGCGGCGGGCACGCAGGGGGCGCACGCAGGAGGGAGCGGGCACTGTGAAGGCAAGGGCGCGTCGGGGAGGCGTTCGATGCTGGCCACAGGAGGGCTGGGCATGCGACCTCCTGTGTGTATCCCGGCGGTGGGATGTGGACGCAGGGCCGCTGGGCCTGGCCCACGGCGGAGGGAGCGGGAAGGGGAGGAGGAGAGAGGGGGGGGGCAAGCTGGGTGCGCAAGCGTCATATCTGACGTCCTGCCCCTCCCTCCCATCCCCTGCCATTGCGTAGATCTCTCTATTCGCACAGTCGGATGTCGAACAGGGCAATAATCCCAAGAGAAAACGCGATGCATGGTATAGCACGGCATAGAAGAGCACGACATAACGTAGCGTGTCGTAGCACGATTTGGAATAGCCGAAACAATGAAATGAGGTCAACGCTGCAGCGAGAGCATGATTTGGAAGGACTGAGAATGGGAAAATGGATTGGAAGGACTGAGAACGGGAAACTGGAGACAACGCTGTAGCGAGAGCGCCATTCGGAAAGGACTGAAAATGTCCGGATTGGAAAACACATATTAATAATCAACTCGGCGGCATCCTGCGTGGTCAAAACATGCGCGTAAGAGGCCGGGACACCTTACTGGCGTCGTCGGGGGGAGACAGGAGAGTAGCATTCATGGTGTGAAACTGCGGAGGGGGCGGAGCAGGAAAGGAGGAGGGAACAAGTGCGGGGACGACGGGGGGCGAGCGAGAGGGGGGAGGAGGTTGGCGTTAGGTCGGGCATGTCCTCCTACAGGCGGATCTTGGAAGAAACATGCGAATAGTCAAACAATAATCAACATGGTCGAACATAGTCGAAAAGAGCGTCCCCGGACGATTGCTGGATTCTGTCTCGGCTGTTCCTCCTGCAGAGGGCCAGGTCCGACTTGAGGTGGGCGACCAGTACGAAGAATCCGACCCTGCCTTGCCTCCTGCCCTCTCAGAGAGCGGCGGCCTGCGGCCGAACGCGCCCGCACGAAGGAGAGGCCCCACCACTGCCCCCTGGTGTGCCCAGCGGGGGCTGCTGCCCTCCGATGCGCTGTGCGCTCTGCAGGCGGGCTGCCCGCCGGAGGCATTCGTGAAGGGGCCCTCGGACAAACATATTGATAGACACGAATCCCAAGACTCCCAATATTTTTCCATATCTTCTGGACTTTCGTCTTCCACCCCGCTTCTCACTTTTTCCTATATTTTCTCGGGGGTCGACGATTCGAGGCTTCCCAGATGGGGTCGTAGTAGTTGGGGTCGGAGGATCGCGCCGCATCAGCAATGCATCAGCGATGCTTATCGGCGATGCAACGGCGATGCATCGGCGACGCCAGCGTGGAGAACATCTGGCTCCACATCGAGCCGCATCGACGATGCGGCGCGACCCTCCGACCCCATCTACTCCGACCCCCTCTGGAAGGCCTAGATCTAGATCTATGGACTCAGGGGGGGCCTGACACAATTTTCTCACCGAGCGTCCTAACCTTCCACAGGGAGAAGCATCTGTCGAGCCCCCTCCAGAGGGAGCAGTCGTCGGGAATCAGAGGCCCCGCCGACCTCTGCCGACGGCACCATCCGGCCGAGCAGGCGCCGGAGCACCCTAGGGGGGGGGGGGGGGGCAGCACACAATGCCTGTCGCCATCTCAGTCCGTGGATGCTGCCCCCCCCTGACATCCAATCCCAGCGGTGCCGGTGGACTCCGAGGAAAACCCTTCGAGGAACGGCAGGCGCGGGTGGGAATTGAGGCGGGGGCGGGAGGAGGGAGGGAGACTGCCATGGCACTGCCATGCGAACTCGCTCAATTACTGCGTCGGCCCCCCAGATGCCAATGGGCACGCTCACGTCCAAACATTGCTGCGAGAAGATGCCACCGTCACGACCTACCCCAGTGGGCAGCCACCACATCCCAGAACACGATGCACTTGGACAGCCACAAATTTGCAAGGCATCCCAAAAAACAGCTCGAGGGCATCAGGAGGGAAACGCACAGTAGCAGGAGGGCCTCCTGAACCTCAACCATACCGCTGCACACATCCCCGCGCGGCACTACTCCTCGCACCACCACCCCCTGCGTCCGAGCCGCGTCCTCGCATAAGCCATTTGATGTGCACCGCTCACTCGGTGACCACCCACCCCCACGCACGGCACAGCAAGGACACTGGCCCGCGGGAAGAGATTAAATGGATCCCTCAACGAGCCGCCCCACTGAAGGCGGCCGCGGTGCCACCTCTGTCGAGGCGGTGTGCCTGTGAGGCCAAGCACGGGCACCGACGACGATGAGCAATTTCCGCCCCCCCCCCCCCCGCGGGGGAGGGAAAAAACAAAACAGCCAATCTTGGCAAGTTCGCGCCATGTTAGACATCGCACCCCTCCCTCCCATGCCTTACCACGGAGTTGAGTTTTCTCTAAGAAGTCGAATGCCGAAGGAGAGGTGAATCCTCAAAGGGTAACTTTGCCCATGACGGCCCTGCATATCACAACATTGGAGGTGCAAGATGCAGGCGGAAGGACTGGAAGGGGCATGAGGTAGGCGGAGGGACGGAGGAGGGAAGAGGAGCATCGACGGATGGGGCAGGAAGCCAGGCGGAGCAAGGCGGCGATGAATGCAAGGAGTCCTTCTACATATATGTGGCATCCGTTTCACCGGGATCACAACTCTTGCTGATGCAAGGACAGGGCCAGCGACGCGGCGAGGGCGACGTTCGACTGAACGGAGGCACTACAACCCTTTAAAGTGACCAGCACTGCAATCAAAGCACAGCTCTCGAGTCCGAACAAAAACGCTTAGGCATGCCAAAAAAATATCGGAAATGACGTTTCGGCAATCCTGCCTGTTAAAAAAACCAGACGTCGGGGACCTACTGACCCGGATCTTTGCAAATCTGGGTCAGTCCGGATCTGCAAGATCCTGCAGGATCCCGCAGGATCCTGCACCCAAGCCCAGGTCAGTGCGCCCATGGCCCTGCAGGATCCTGCAATACCCCGTGCTATGGCTGACCCCCGTTTACCTTGACCCCCGCCTCTTGAGCCCCGAAGACAAGCGGCGGCAAACATGTAGACAGTGCCCTGGAAGAGAGGGCAGACGTTCGCATACCTAGTAACGGTATCACTCCTGGCACTGGCACCGACGGCCCGGCGGTCTGGGCCAGACGCAGCCGACCCCACACCCTAGCGGCGCTCTGCCACCAGGGAGGGCGGAAGCACTCGAGAGTCCGGGGACGGGGGTTACCCCGAGGAGGAATAATAATAGTAGTAGCAACCATAGAATTCGCCGGCCCAACGGGCCAGAGGCGTGCTAAAATCTCCGGTAACTGCTAAATAATACTTCTACTTCGCGCGCGCGGGGCGGCCCCTGGGGGTCCCCGGACGAAAAGTACCCCGGGCGATCCCCGGCAGACTCGGGTCAGAGATGGTTTTCCTCCTGGGCGCCGCCCCCGTGGCCCTCCAGAGAGCCCCAAGAAGGGCCACGAGGCCGCCAAGAGCCCTCAAAGATGGTTCAAGAGTGCTCCGAGATGCCACACGATCGTTCCAAGACGCCCAAGATGGCCCCCAGACGCCCCAAGAGGCCTCCAAGAGCACTCCCCAGAGGGCCCCAAGAGGCAAAATTCATTACTTTTCCTTAGGTTTTGGGCAGATTTTGGCGTGTCCATCTTTTCGGCTTCCCGACGCCCCAAGACGGCCCAAGAGGCCCCCAAGATCGCCCCAAGAGGGCCCAAGAAGCTCCCAAGAAGGCCCCAAGATGGCCCAAGAGGGCTCCAAGACGGCCCCAGAGGCATCCAAGACGGCCCAAGAGGGGCCCAAGAGGGCCCCAAGCGATGCCCCAAAGGGGGAACACAAAACAAAACTTCGAGCCCTCGGCCTTAAGAAGCCCCCAGGAGGCCTCAAGAGGCCCCTGAGAGGCCCCAAAAGCTCCCAAGAGGCCCTCAGGAGGCCCCCAAGCGACGCTGAAGAGGCCCCCCCCCCCCCAGCGGCCCCAAGAGGCTCAGTCATGCG